TATACACTATCAGCGAACTGGAAAAAAAAGTTATTGACATACAACAGATCTCCCGTAACTCCTCTATTGAAATCAGAAACGTTCCAATCACGGAGGGAGAATCTACCTCTGACCTAAACCGATTTGTGTCGCAACTAAGCAACGTCCTGGAAATGCCGATCAGCGGAGTACGGGACATATACCGTATTCCGGGCAAACCTGGAACTAAGAAGCCCATTGTCGTAGAACTGAACTCTGTGCAGGAAAAAGACAAGGTTCTCACAGCAACAAAGAAATTTAATAAGGACAAACCTCACGATGGCCGTTTAAACACTTCTCAGATAGGAATTCATGGGCATCCCCAGCCAGTATACGTGGCGGAATTTCTGCCCTCTTCGACCAAGAAGCTATTTCACCTTGCGAGGGAGTTTGCTAAACTTTATAAATATGAATTTTGTTGGTCCATAAACGGAAAGGTTTTCTTACGACAAGCGACAGGAATGAAGCATATACATGTCAAATCGGAACAATTTCTACGTGACCTCAAACAATGACTGGGCTTTCTCTTAATAACATTTACAGTATTTTTGTTTCTCGTCTTTTTAATTTTAAATTGCGCCCATAAGCGTAACTCTAGTTTTAACTTTGTTCTTCTAATTTTATATACAATACACACTATTTACGTTACTAAACATCATTCTCACCTGATCAACACATCATGCACACTCTTTATAAAACAAATTCCACTTAACATACCTAATACTTATCACAAACAGCCCCGCCATAGATTTCTACTAGTACGATCATCAAAAGGCCATTACCTGTCAAAAACCCTGTATATTCACTTGTTCTCATTTCTGGGTTTTATAAATGTTTTCCACAATGACTTCTAAATTGATATTAATACAGAACTTGACTCCTTGGATAGCCTCAATTCCCGTAAATGTGAACCAGATGAATGCTATGGTCTAATAGGAACAGCCCAGCATAACTCACTAAGAATCTTTCAACTAAACATTCGTAGTGTCAACAAAAACTTCGACCAGCTAACTGTCTTTTTAACCAAACTTAGAGTAAATTGTGATGTTATAATTCTGACGGAGTGCTGGCTCTCAAAGTGTACAAATATCCCGTCACTACAAGGATACACTCACTATGCATCCACAAGGAGTTTAAACCAAAACGCGGGTGTCATTATTTACATTAACTCAACATTACCTCATGCCATAACAGAACCTATATTCAATCATGCCGCTTCTCTTACCTGTGTCATTGTCAGTAAAATAGCGATCGTAGCTATTTATAGATCACCATCATACAACTCTCATCCACATCATGACATGTTCCTAGAAAACCTTAACCACGTACTGGGTGGCCTAAAATCTTTTAGCCATATTGCTATCTTAGGCGACCTAAACATTGATATTAAGCCTCAAAATACGGATATTTTATCAAATAGTTATTTATTACTATGCGCCAGTCATGCCCTATCACCTACACATGTTTTTACCACTAGAGAAGACAAATGCTATGACCATATCTTACTAAAATCTAATCTCCCGTCTATCACTCTTGTTATAGAAACCCATATAACAGACCACTTGTCAATACTACTTAGCCTTCAGCTTAAAAGAAGTGTAAGACATCTAACTCATTCTAAGGTTATAATGGATCATAAAAATATCCAACGCGATATATCCGACACCGACTGGTCACATATTCTCCAAACAGAGGACGCAAATCTTGCCACTGATGCCCTGATCTCAACACTCTCTTCTATTATTACCAAACACTCCAAAACAACTTTGGTGTCGCGACGAAAAATAACACTTAAACCTTGGATTACAGCAGGACTACTTCGATGTATACGAAATAGAGACCGTCTTCATAAAAAAGCTAAAGTTTCTCCTAATAATCAAATTCTTAAAATAACTTACACCCGCTATCGCAATTATCTCAACCAACTCTTACGTAAATTAAAAAGATTACATGAAAAAAATGAACTATTCAAATGTAAAAATAACCTTAAAGCTACATGGAAGACCTTAAAAACCATCACAAATATGGATAAACCTCATACCCCCCCCCCTGGAGTTATTAAATAAATCTATAGACTCTTTAACAGCACTAAACTCAATCAACAAATACTTCGTAGAAATAGGTAAAGTTCTGGCCAGTAAAATTAAACCTAATCCACAAGTTGACATCATACACCTTCTAAAAAGTAATCACACTGAAATTTTGAATTCCATGGTGATTCTCGACACAGACAACATGGAAGTCGATGCTATTATCAGAGGGCTACGATCTGACTCTTCTACCGGCTGGGACGGTATTTCACCTATAATTCTTAAATCAAATAGTGGATCCCTTGTCCCTATCATTACTCATATCTGTAACATCGCTCTCCGTACAGGTGTGTTCCCAAATGCGTTCAAAAAGGCTCTAGTACATCCCATTTACAAAAAGGGGGACCGGAGCTCCATTGAAAACTACAGACCTATATCTGTTTTGCCCACTATGTCAAAGGTTCTTGAAAAAATAATTAATAACAGACTTTTAAATTTTCTAAACTCTAATAATATTATTTCCAACCATCAATATGGCTTCCGATCCGGTATTTCGACGGAAGATGCAGTCGCGAACCTGGCTGAACACATCTCCAAAAAATTAGACCAGGGACAGAAGTGTCTAGGAATTTTTCTAGACATACAAAAGGCGTTTGATACAGTTCATATACCCAGCCTCCTCCAAAAACTTTACAACGTCGGTGTGAGAGGAATAACGTATGATATTTTCAAAGATTATCTTAACAACCGTTTTCAAAGCATTACAATAAATGGACTAAAAAGTAATTATGCACGCATTGAATATGGCATTCCCCAGGGTTCAATCCTCGGTCCTAGTCTGTTTTTACTTTACATTAACCAACTGTGTGATATTAATCTTCCCAACTCTAATATTTATACTTATGCAGATGATACAGCTATTGTTGTTCATGGTTCAAATTGGTCTCATGTCAAAACGATTGCTGAAAAAAACCTTATAATTATAAATAACTGGCTTTCACATAATCTTTTATCTCTAAATCTATCTAAAACACAAATTATTCCTTTTACCATTAGAAATTCTACGCAACCACCACCAAATTACAAAATATATGTACATTCACACTGTAATCAACCAAATACCTGCAACTGCCAGCCTTTATCCCAATCAGACCATATAAAATACCTAGGCATTTATATTGATTGCAATCTAAACTGGCACCACCATATTGACATGCTCACCACCAGAGTCAGGCGCCTTATACATACCTTTAAAACCCTCCGACATTCTGCAGACACCGAAACACTTTTTTTGGTATACTCCGCTCTATGTGTATCCATCATAACCTACTGCATCCCAATATGGGGATGTGCCAACAAGACCTACTTTATGAAAATTGAAAGAGCGCAGAGAGCAGTGCTTAAGGTTATCCACTTCAAAAACTTTAGATTCCCGACAAGAGAACTATATTCAATCTCAAAAACCCTTACTGTAAGACAACTTTTCATACTACGTGCAATTATACGGACTCTTCCCCAAGTGCCCCTGCCAGATCGATCTAAAAGAAACTCAAATAGGCTTTGCCATATACCTCCTCACAGAACCACTTTTTGTTCACGTCAGCTACCTATCTCTATATACAAAATTTACAATAAAATCAATTACACTGTAGGCTTGCAATACCAAACTCAGTTCGAATTAAAAAACAAACTGACAAAATGGCTGTTAGCCTTAGACTACGACGAAACAGAAAATCTCTTGACAACATTACATTAAACTGAAACTCACACAGCAACTCATATTCACACACACTTATACACACCCTCATACATACACCTACACATCCAGGAACACACACACACTGAAACAAAACTATGAACAAACAGAAGCTCTTTTGACCTACATAACATAACTCACAAACAAAGACATACACACATGAACATACACATACACACACACCCACACACACATACATACTCTTTCACACACACTTCAATAACCAAGTCTAAACATTTCCACCAATAGCAACAATTACTACAAGAATCAAGTAAATGAGATCTCGGTTGAACACTGCCTCTTAAGATACAGGCCATGCCTAGTTTAAGAGTCAGGGATCACTACCTTCCTTTGAGACCTGTACAGCTAATGTAAAAATTATGTAACTACTGTAAAATTATTTGTGGAAATAAATAAATATTATTATTATTAAATATTATTATTATTAACATATATGATCATGCTCATCACACAATTAATTGTTCTGGGTGCTAATCGAACCCACAATCTCTGGCTTAGCAGCCTGGATCATTAACTAGGTACTAGGCCAGTAGGTCAGTCAAACAATATGGGTAATGCGAAACACACAATTTTTTTAAATGCGATAGTTTGACCGGATGTTTGTAACTGAATCACGTCAGAGGATCAAATTCTTCACATCATTTTTCTATCAATGAAATTAAAAACAAAAATTTCGAAACTTTTTATTGATCACACTAGAGTCACAGTCAATAACTACTAAAAAAAAACGATCAGATCACGAATAGAGATTACGATATATCAAAGTGTTAAGGTGTACACTATTTACTTACAAATTTGGTGTCTAATATTTCTCTACCATCTTCTATTCCTTTTCAAAAAAAAAACGAAATAACCCTCAGGTTTAAATCAAGCTTGATTCAAAGGTATTTAAACTAATTCCTAATATGTAAATAGTAAAGGATAAGTAGAAAACATCACAAGAAACATTTTAGCACAACATTTATTTTGAATGGCATACGTTTCATACCCACGCGTCATTCAAGAACTAGTTAAACAACCGATTTTCCTTGCAAACGCTTTGCTTTGCTATAAAAGAGGCATCAATTTGAGCGAACATCAGTTCTTTCTTAGCTGTACACCAGACAACACGTGTCGGTAGATCTCCAAAAATGTCGCAAAGAATTTTGATCACGTTTTTTCTGTGCTTACTATGCATGCGTGCATTTTCTTTACCTATTACTCAAGATGTGAAAGCAAGTGATATTGGATTACAAAGTGAAATTGAGATTAAACCTCAACCAGATATCAGTTCTAGTTTGGATGAAGAGTTACGAAGGACCAAAAGGAATACAATGAGAAGTAAAGGGTGCTCTAGAGGAAAAAGGTTCTACAAGACGAGATGTATCACCTACACGATGTAAGTTTGCTGTAAATATTAACGTATAAATATTTAAAATGCTCATATTACTGTCATAGTGGACTTAAATATGTAAAATCAAAAATATTTGGATTTTATATGCCTAGTTGTTCAAATATTCAAATTTTCTTTTTATAATATTCTAATTGTATAAATAATTAAAATTATTTACAATGGTTATTCATAAACTAATAAAATTATTAATTGATGAATTGTTTATTAATAGAAAAATACAGTAAGTTATAGGTATAATACGTAATTATTAATAGTATAATAATTTTTTTTTAGGTATACAAAAATCATTGAAGGCGATTATGATGATGGTGAATAAAAAAAGAAACTCTTGATCTTGAAGCAATGGATGAAATATTTCATCAGGATGCTTCGGGTGACTTGCCGTGGAGCCGACGAAAACCGAATGAGATTCAGTACAAATATGTTTTCAGTATTATTTGAGTAGATCGGAGAGGTGTGAATTACGGATTTTAAAATCATGGTCGTAGAGTCGGAAATCGGATAGAATATTTTTCCTGCAGCTATTATCCTATGTATTATTTTAGCTGTAAAATCTAGTCATGATTAACTAAGACACCATTTGTAACTTGTAGTTTTGTTAAGAGAATTGTGTTTTTTACTTTTTGTAAATACAATACAAATAGTCAAATACACAATTCGCCTTAGTTATTTTGTAATTGATTTTCTTTTTGAATTATTTTTATAATAATTCTTGGTGCAATGCACTTTGAATCAAAGATTAGTACGACATTACTGTTTCCTCTTTGGTCAATTACACTCCATGAGGATAACGGTAATTTAAATGGTATCTTTTGTTGTTATGTATAAATATTTTTAGATAATGACTGTGATACAAATATTTAAGTTGTTTATTTATTTCTTAGGTTAATTAGTTTTATTTATTTATTTCCAACTTAATGCCTCGGCGGACTTAATGCCCGCGGACTTTCGACATGCTGACATGCAGCATTTGTTTTAATTTAACTTGGTTGTTTATTTTTTGAACATTGTATTTAATTTATTTATTTGGGAAATAAATAGAAAAAGTTGTGTAAACTTTTCTTTTCTTTAATTTTATTTATGAAAATGTTAAAATGTTTCAAAACGTTGCCGTTACTCAATAACATGAAATAACTTGTATTTATGAATTAAAAGTCTATTCCTCTTGTCACTATTAACTAATTAACTCTCATAATAATAACATTTAGAATAATTTCTAGACTACTTGTAAAGACTGTGATACAATTAGTTGTAGTTACATTCATAAGTATCTACTGTTAATTGTAAGTTTAAATTACTCAAATAATAAACACGTTAAATTATTTATATGTATTTTATTAAACACAGCAAGTATTAGAAAAATATATCTCAACAGATGTAAAAATCTCATCATGATCATTGGATAGTCCACTGCTGGGCACAGGCCTCTCCTTAGAAAGGAGGTTTTGGTCTACAACACCACGTGGGCCAGACGGGTTGGTATAGTAGTGGTTTGTTTCAAGTTTTCCTTCTCTGATTTTTTATTCCGTATACATACGTATACGTATACTCGTACATAATAATACACTTTTGCCTTCAAGTTCTTAAAGCTCACAATTTAAAAACATCTTTAAATTTTATGTTTCGATTATTGAGCATTTGAATATTAAATGTGATCTTCAAGAACTGCGTATGACAATTTGTATTTCTGGCCGTAAAAAATAAAAAAATATAACGCCTTGTGGCACGATGGACTGACGACTTAAGGAAAATGGCGGACAGCGAATGGATGCGGACTGCCAAAGACTGTTTATTTGTTTGTTTATTTCATTTAGCAGTCAGACAGCAATACATGAATTATTCGTAGCATAGCAATCGTGTTACTTATATTTAAGAAAACATATTTTGCCAAACTACGCTGGAGTCGGCTTAATATGCTCTTCGGATACGGAGGAGTCTCAATGGTTAAGAATGCCATAGACTGACCTCGCTTGACTTTATAATGTATCTAAGAGTAGTCCTTCGTGAAATAAAAACATAAACTTAACTTAAATCACGATGCTCTGGTCTAATCTTCTTCAATCTCAGGACAGACATACGGGTACAGGCAACGCTTTCTTCGAGCTATTGTATTCTTGTATGCACTTTCTTTTAGTGCTACTATAAAAAACTTAAATGTGATCAACTGTATATAAAGGCAAATTGTTTGAAATGATTTTGCGTCAAGTACAACCATGTAACAATGTCTAATGAATGGCTTTCTGTTTAAGTTAGGTATGATCTATGATATAAAATAAAGAGAGATTTTTTTTTTATAAACAGCTACCAATTTCTTGAAAAATATAATAATGAATACTTTTTGAAAAAAGTTGAACCGACTTCAAACACTACTAATAAAGAGCAAATTAAAGGGAGAGAAAATAGTTCTTATAAACAGATTTCAATTTCTTGAAAAATATAATAATGAATACTTTTTGAAAAAAAGTTGAACCGACTTCAAACACTACTAATAAAGAGCACGAAAAACCTAGCAAGAAACGCGGTTGTCTTGATGTCATTTTTTTAAGAGTTCCGTTGTCTGTCTCTGAAACTCATATCAAATCTATATTAAATTTAAATCGAACCATTTCGAAATAAACCCCAACCAATAAACCCCAACCCCAACCATTTCGAACAAAACAAGAATTTTGAAAATTCGTCTATATTTGACGGAGTTATGCCCGCTACATACATAAAAAAATATAAACATCCGAATTCATAACCTCTTCCTTTTTGAAGTCGATTAGTAAATGGAACTTTATATATTTTTTTTCAAAGTCTCGGCGATGTTGTTGTATTGAGAAATCAAACAATTGATCCATTCAAGTTTGAGTTTCTGTCACTAGCGTTATCTGACCCTGGGAGGAGACGCAAATGGATAAAAAAGTATCGCGTTAAATATAGCAGGGCACGAGTTGGGCTCGAAGAGTTGCCTCCCATGGGAATATTAAGGATAGAAAGGTACTTACAGACAGGATATCTTTACAAAAAAGTAAAACACTTGCATTGGTTGTTTGAATTTATTTGACTAGAGAGTTTGTAAAAACTACACACCTATATGTAAAAAAAATCAGTTCAGATAAGGCTTACAAAATTTTACCCAAGTTCCTACCGAACGGTACATATTATAATTTCTAAAATTTATTATTTTAAATCGATATTCGGTCATTTCTATTATTGACAAAGTGTCTTTAATTATAGTTAAATATATAGCAACCGATATAACTATTTAATTTAACTGACTTACTATACATTTAATACTTTGATCTTAGATAATGACTAAAATATCACAGTGAGGAGGCATTATAAACCATCTTGTAGGTACATTTAAAGTGTAGTTTCCTAATATTAATATAATTAATTATTTAATAAATCTTTTTACATATATGTATTTCCTGCCTAAAAAACATCGAGAACTAATGGTAAATAAACTATATTACAATACAAGAATAATAAACAATTGTACAGGTACACATATTAATGCTTTTTAAATTCATTTGAATGTTATTTGAGCAACGATTTTAATATAATAGTTTTTTTATAAAGATACGGTCAGTTACTTTGTATGGCACACGTGTCAAATCCTCCATGTCCTTAATTAATTCGTTTCATAACAATCTTAACAGTCATTTTGTTCATGTTTTAATACATTTTAAGTAAACTATTAATACTAATATACAAGATAATAATTGTTCAAAATATTCAGAATATAATGTAAACAAAACACGTCCGGAATCCTTTTAAAAAAAATAAACGTCAATTTTAGCTCCTTTAAAATATAACTTATGGAAGGAATATTACGATATGACCTTATAAATAATATTTTACCTACTATTATCTTTTTTATGTTACTGTTAAAGGAATAGTATACTCCAGATAATAAAAAATACAACTATACTGTATACAAGCTATTTGGAGGAATAAGTAATATGTATGTATGTTAACCTTATAACACTATTTATACTAAAATTAATAGGACTTAAAGTTGGTAATTTATAAGATATTACATAAATTGCACAATTTACAGTCACAGTAATTAGACTCCCAAGTAATTTCGATTGCAGTATCACAATCAAATCTTGGAATAAACTTAAAAAATAAAGCTATTAAGACTTATGCGTAGAAAAAGTAGACTTGATCAAAAATAAATACCAATTGAAGGCAATCCTTGCCAAGGTACATCAGGATGAATTGTAATAAACTGTATTCATCATCACCATCAACAGCCTTTAATAGCCCACTGCGCTAGACATAGGACTATCCTTAGAAAAAAGGTTTTGGCCTACTATACCACTCTGGCCAGTCGGGTATGCATAGGGTTTGTGTCCAGTTTTCCTTCCCTTTGCAGTGCTGTTGTCCTACGTAGTTTGCTCCCTTAGTCGGCACCTACGGGATGAATAGGGGTGGTGACACTCCGTATTTTCAATTCGTCACCACACGGATGTAACTGTATTCATTATTCTCTAATTGTCGTCTTTTAAGAGACTATTTTTGTTCATATTTAAATAGGCCCGAAGAGAAAGTCTTTAAGGAATGCCTTTTAACAGTTGAAGAAATATAACCTCATAACATTGACTTCACTTATTTCAACTTTTTTTTCATTTTTAAAAGTAATGTAATTGATTGCTCTACAAATAAATATGCAATATTGCTAAATAAATAAATATCTTAAATAAAATGTCATTATTCTATAACTTTGGAGGCACATCGGACGAGTTTAAAGGTTATTACGAACATAATCGACATCGCGAAGACATCGCACCACACACCTCATCATTGGAGCACGAATGTGAAACTGTATAGTCTTCTCTCCGTAGATAATTGTAACTGTAGAAAAAAAAACAAAGTTTTAATAATAGTGATATTAAAAAAAAAATACAAACCTAAAACACTCTAGCTATATCTTCTTAAATAACAACGGTCTGAATATCCGTTAAACTGGTTATATCCTTAAAAGATCAATTGTGGTAATTTAGTCAGATTGTTCGATTATCAATTCTTTTGTTAAGCAGTTGTTAGGTTTATTGAATCCAAGCTCTCTTTTACCTTTTAAATCTATAGCAAAGCTATTATTCAAAGCTATGCGATTCTTCTTTTCTTCTTTTTAAAAGACAACTCCCGCACTAGGAATATATCCTGTGTCGCGGGGAACTTTACAAACATACATGAAACTGACACAAAGAACACCCAGACTCAGAACAACAATTTGTGAATTACACAAAGTGATGTCCCATTTGGGGATCGAACCCACAACAATTTAGCACAATAGGAAGCGACGAGGTGACCGCTTAAACCACTACGCCATCCGTACAGCACATGCAATGCAGTATTGTTTATTGTGTGTAATGTTAAGGAAATTATGGTTACTATTTATTCATCTTTCCGTCACCGTGTTTTTGTATTTCATGTTTGGTCAAAGTTTAATGTTTGCCTTATCAGTATGGTTCTTTTAGATTAATTGCATAATTTTTGTAACTGACTATCTTGTACTGATACTAAAATAAAGTCAGTTCCAGAACGACCTGTCAGTTTTAATACAACACTGTGCATAAATTAGGAAACTTAAGCAACCATATAATTGCTACGGATGTTTTTCTTCAAAACTATTACTTCCTTATATATATTTATGTAGTAAAAGTTTAATAATACTTACAGTAATTTAAACAACCAAAACAGTACCACAACGGCGACGAAAACAATGAGTAATGTGTACGTCAAATTTTTCAGTCTCTCTGAATCTGCACCATTGTCGTCTTCAAAAATGAGTGTAGGAGAAACTGCATGGATTTCTTTTGCATCAATATCAAGTGTACTCTCTGTGGTGTCTAATTCTGAATCTGTAACCTCCAGTAGAGTCACTGTGCTAGTCTCAATATCATATTCCGTGGAAGTCAGGATTTCGTATTTATGAACAATTCCAGATTTTGGAACAGTTTCTTTTCGGATGAGTGGTACTACCTCATACAAGGCAGGTTCAGTTACGTTGTCGTCATAATCGTTGTCACGTAGGAGTTGAATTCTGCTGGCAATAAATATTTTTGTTATTTTTACATACGTGGTTAGTATAAGCTTATGGAAAGTAATTATTGTTAGATTGTAATGGAACGCAACCAATTTTAGTTCTAATATGTGTCACGGGTGGCGCTGCCTCGCTCCCCGTTTTTTTTTTGTATCTGTCATCATATAGTACTCGGTATATTAAAAAGTTGTATCAGTAAAATATTTCGTTTATTTCTACAATCAACGCAAAATTCCTTCAATTATATTAAACTCTTAGTGTATCATCAGTCATTTTTGTAAACTTCTATTGATAACCTCTATGAAGTAATTATGTCATTCGATTTCTAGGTTGAGTAAGTTTTAATTTTTGGAAAAGAAACGCTTAATTAGAATTATAAGAACATGCTTATAAATTCTGAAATGGTTTCAATTATATATAACTAATAGAATTCAGAGCAAAAGTTGCGATTCTTACGTAATAAAATATTATTAATTTTACACATGGTTTATATAAAGGCACAATTTTTGCGGTTTTTATGCGGTATAAAATTACTAATAAAGTCACTCATTTTGATATGTAAAAGTGGTTAATTTCTATTTATGATTATAATTTGAATACTATATGTGCATATCCTAATCTTTAATATATTATATACACCCGAAATAAACCAGACCGACCGTAACCTTACTTTTGTTTATACAACGCAAAATAACGTTTAGTATTTAAAGAAGCGTGTCTAAAGCGCACTGTTTGTGAGAATCGTAAAAATGACCTTGAACTTCGCACAGTGTTACTGGACTTTATGTTATTTTAAAATGCTACATAAGGTTCATTTTATTATAAATGATCAAATGATCAATCGCTTCTCCACCAAAAAAAATATTTGAGTATTTCTAGGTCACAGTTACTGGGAATCCCCAGCAAACAGTGTCGTCGAAACTTTATTACTATATTGCATTGTCTTACATCATATATTTCTTTTGTTACAAGAGTATTTTTGTATCATAATTAATTGTAATTGTGAAATACAAAGGAATGGAATACTGAAGGAAATTTTTGTAAAATTTAAAGTCTGGAGCCATATTTAACTTACATATGCATTTATAAATTCAATAGATAAATATAATAAAATTGTACTCACTCTTCCTGAGTCCTGCATCTTCCTTTATAACGTTCCTTTCCTCTTGGACACGATCCAACTTTAACTGATGCTTTTCTGATCCTTACTAAAACATCACCACTTTTGTCATCATAACTTGAAATCAGATCTTCTGTAGTTCTTGAATGATTCAAATTTAGATCAATGGGTAATAAAGAGACGTTTTGTACGATAATGAGGTAAGTAAGTAACGTCAAAAAAGTTTTAAAGACGAAAGCCATTGTTCCAAAAAAAATCACTGACGTCCGTATCACACGAAAGCTCACAAAACACTGTGTCAAATTTTACTTTCCTAACAGTTGATCACGCCGAGCGGTTCGTATCTGCAACATTTGCAGTAGTTATCAAAATTGTTGCGTCATGATTATTGTTACATATTATTTTATAATATTGCACGAAATATATAGGCGTGGTGTATGTTGCCCTAGGAATTAACCTTGATTTGAGAAAAAACTTTCGTGAATGGTAGTTATATTTATTATGAGGTTTTACTCCCGTGTGTATTTTGGGAATAAGGTTGACTGTGATGGGAGTTAGTTTTACTGCTTTAAAAAGGGATCCTGTTGGGTCTACAATAAGTGGGACATTCCCGTAACATACCCACAAGTTAACCCGTACTTCTTTAATAATTTAATGATTTTTTATCTACTTATAGATTCAAAACTGAACTAATATGAAGATCAGTTTCAGTTGCATCGTTGTTTTAGTAAAATATTTCGTCAGATACTAGTTGAAACTCTGTCTATTTTGCTTTAATTATTTCACCATTTACGTTCTAAACATCAATTGAATGGAATCAATTCAGATATCAAATATTACATTTTTCGACCTTGTAGGTAATTGATTTCTATCAGGCAAATTTAGGTTTAATCGTATATGTACGTGTATGTTAAGGGATATTTTTTTATAGAAGTGGGGGCAGACCAGCAGACGGGTCACCTAATGGAAGTTGACAACCGTCACCCATGAACGCATAAGAAATTACTGTTCTGAGGTATTTATTCCTAAGGAATAAATTGCATTGCGTAATGTGTTTCGGGAGTTAAATGTTGCTTGCAATATGTGTCATCCTCATTGCGCTATTCTTTCGTCATCAGCCTATCGCAGTCCACTACTGGACATAGGCTCCCATTGCATGCCACTTAGATCGATTTTGGGCCATAATTTTTATATTATTTCTATTAATTAAATATATATGGTTTGAAGACGTAAATGTTTTGATTTCTAGTAAAAAAGATCTACTTATAGAATCGGATTAGAACCGATCTAATATGAAGATCTGTTTCAGTCGCATTGTTATTGTCTTAAAATATTGCGTCAGATAGGAATCAATGTTGCTTAAATATTGTAACCGTATAGGATTAATATTCCTTGTTTCAATAACTCAGTTAATCATGATGTAATACCAATTGTTAAATATTTCAGACCTTTAATGTTTTGTACGATTTTCGTTCTTGTAATCTTTCTATCTAATCTTTATATCAAGTTTAGATTAAATGTGTTTTGCAATTATCTCTAAGTTGTCGGCTAATGATATTTAGGATTAATCGTATAGGTATGTGTACATTTAAGCACATAATATTTATGTTTTACCTTTCATACATTTTGTATTGCAAGGAGCGTAAAGGACATATCCATCAGTCAGGTTACGCACGCGTTAAATCCACCATGGATTATGATGTCTACTTATATTTTTTTTGAATTTAGAAATTACTGTTATATTCCTAATACATTGTAATTATTGCGTAATGTTATTTGGGACTTAAATGTTGCTCGCAATGTGTGTCATCCTCATTGCGCAATGCTTTCATTACGCAATAGTTTTTGTATTATTTCGTTAAGATATGTTTTATTGAATTAGAGAAGTAATTGTTTTATTTTCTAGTAAATTTTCAAGTCAAATCACCAGTATTCACCAATATATTAAATCTAATTCATTTATACTGTTTTATATATATTCCTAGATTATGTACTGTTTTAAATTGTTTTTACTTCGAAATCGTCAAATAAATGTTTCTTTCTTTCTTTCTTTACAAAGCCTTTCTCGGGGACTCTCTTCCTAGTATATACCTTTAATGTTTTAACCCTACGGTAATCAATTCAGATATCACGATTTTTGTTCTTGTAAATAATATTTATATCAAGTTTAGATTAAATATGTTTTGCAATTATCTCTAAGTTGTCGGCTAATGATATTTAGGATTAATCGTATAGGTAGGTGTACATTAAAGCACATAATATTTATGTTTTACCTTTCATACATTTTGTATTGCAAGGAGCGTAAAGGACATATCCATCAATCAGGTTACGCAGGCGTTAAATCCACCATGGATTATGATGTCTACTTATATTATTTGTGAATTTAGAAATTACTTTTCTATTCCTAATGCATAGTAATTGTTGCGTAATGTTATTCGGGACTTAAATGTTGCTCGCAATGTGTGTCATCCTCATTGCGCAATGCTTTCATTGCGCAATAGTTTTTTGTATTATTTCGTTAAGATATATTTTATTGAATTAGAGAAGTAATTGATTTATTTTCTAGTAAATTTTCAAGTCAAATCACCAGTATACACCAATATATTAAATCTAATTAATTTATACTGTTTTACGTATATATACGTAGAACAGTATAAATGAATTAGATTTATTGTATGTAGATTATATGTAGATTATATACTTTTTTTAAATTGTTTTTACTTCGAAATCGTGCAAATAAATGTTTTTTTCTTTCTTTCTTTACAAAGGGTTTCTCGGGCACTCTCTTCCTAGTATATACCTGAGTCTTTTGCGATAGACACCTTACCTTATTACCACTTCTCCGTGGGCTCCAATGACCCGTGAAACCATCACGGTTTTTAGACGTTAAATTTTTTTTGTCATTTATTATGTGAGTAAAATATGTAATTTTTTTGGTGTAATAAAAATTATGTTGTATAGTCACATTGCTCATAGTCGTAGCGATGTTCGTAAGCCCCCAATGACACATATCTATACGTCACTACGTATTGCGAGTTTTCCTTGAAGCAAACTTGCGTGGGTATAAAAGTGGCAACGAGAGCTCCGCAACCATTAGTTCAGTTTGAACTGCTATCGCAGCTAGTCCTCATACAATTAAACAAGATGGCAACCGTGACTTTTTTCGTATTTTTCGTAATGTTGTGTTACATGGCACTTGCGTTGCCTGTAACACGAGATATGCAAGTTAGTGACGTCAGAGTGCAAAGTGAAGTTACGACTGAAATTGAACCAGTTTGGAGTTTGGATTTGCAAGATGTTTTAGTACGGGCCCGACGGGAAACAGTGCGTGGTAAAGGATGTCCCAGGGGGAAAGTTTTTTTCAAAAGGAGATGCATCTCTTACAAAAAGTAAGACAATTTGAAAATAATTTACTAATCATTATTAAATTAAAAACAAGTATAATATGTTAAAATATTTTTAATTTCAGTGCCTAATAAATTGTATCATGTAATATGATATAATTTAAAAAGTATTTACTGAAGTTTGTGTTTCATATATTAAATATTTTTTGATTATAAAACTGACAAAAACTAATAAATATTTCAAAATATTTTTTAATTTTTGATTTTTAAGTTTTTATATATATTTGGTTTTATTTCTATAAATGTAAAATAAATGTTTTATTAATAAATAGTTAGGAATTTAAAATAAAATTACCCATTTACCACTTAATACAAGTTTTAGTAGATTAATGTAGAAGAAAATTAGTGCACTACATAAACTAATTCAGAGGAAATATTTTAAATAAAACATTCAATCATAACTTATTTTTAACTGACATATTATTAGACAAATGCTAATGTAATCGTTCAATATTACATTATCGAAAATCGTTCATTATTAAATATATTTTTAAATAGGTTATTAAAAATTACAATAATTAAACATTTTCTTCTTCTTTATCTACAGGTACAGACAATTAGCAGAAGGAGATTATGAAGAGAAATAAGCAAAAATAATGAAATTAGAAGATACCGAATCTCCGTTCCTCTTTTCCTATGGGCAAGAGTGAATGATTGAAGAGTAAACCAGAAGTCTGGCTGGACCAGACTTCTAACCCTCAACTTCTATGAAGTATGCAGTAAACAAATACTAGTTAGTAAAATTAAAATTGTAAGACCTTTTGTCATTCATCACGTTAACTGACTATTAACCTGAATTTTTAATGGTATAGTCATTCATTTTTATAATTTCGTAAAATTTATAAACAATGATTTAAAATATTTTACGCTAAAAGAAGAACAGATAAAGACGTAAAGGTCTAAAGTAAAATTGTGGAAAGACTAAATAATAGGACCGTCGTAAATATTTAATATCGATTTCCGCTTGTATTGATTTACTACCGCTCGTTTCCAAATAGTTAATTCTCGTGTGAAGCCAAACTCACAGTCACATTTTTAGATCGCAAGATTTGAAAATGTGGTTTTGATAAGGTAATCTAGTCATGTGACTTTAATAATTATGTTATTTATAAATTAATTTATTACTATTTTAATTATACGCATTTACAGTAAGTACATACCAAAACTTTAAATTATACTGTCACATAATATCAGGTCTTTACCTATGAAATTGCCGTTTTGTATGCAATAAGTGAAAGTACTTATTTTTTCAAACTTTTTTACTTCTGTTATTCGAAGTAATCCCATGCAATCGACGCATCTTTGCCAACGCATTGGCAGTTTATTGATGCCCTTCTTGTGAAAATCAGCTGGACGGGAGGCAACAAACTCTTCAAAGGCATTTTGTACTGCCTCCCGGGAATTGAATTTTTTACCCACTAAAAAGTTGTCTAAATTTTGGGAAAAGTAATAGTCGGTAGGTGCAAGGTCTTTCACTTATTGCATACAAAACGGCAATTTCATAGGTAAAGACTTATTAATTATTTCAAACTTAATAGAATTCCATAGCAATAGAATCCATTTATTGGAGTTACGTTTTGTTAAATATACAAGTATTATTATTATTATTAATTAAAATGTTGTGATAATAATATTTTGACACCAAGTTTATTTATGAACAGACTTTGCATTTATATTATTCATTGGTGCATATTGTCAGCTTATTTTTGATATGAAACAGTATTTATTAGGTAATTTCAAATGTATTCCTAAATTTATTAAAGTATTTTCTAACACGTAATACTTTAAGAAATGGCGGTAATATAATTATTTTGTTATTTTTTAATATTTATTTACATAAATACATATTTTTTATAAAAATGTATGTATTAATGTTGTAAATAGATACTCATAGAACATTTAGTATAACTTTAAAGACTGAATGCAGCTATGACTTTAGCTATAGTATTTATTGTTCCATGATAATTTTAAATAAATATAAAAATATAAACAACAAAACTAATTTTGTATTGTAATTTTCTACTATTAACCTTCTAACATCATTGAAATTTCCAAACCCAAGCTGTTGAACTTGTCGCAACGAGTCATATGAACCTAAATTCGAAGGGTTTAGGCATTGAAGAGTTCCATATCTATTGTTAACTCAACACGATGGCTGTTGTAAATCTTTGACCTTTGTGTATCACAGTTATGTGGACATAGGGTTCCCCAAAGGTTCCTGTGCGGCCCGCATCCAACGGCATCCCGCTACCTTCACCAGTATCACATTATCAGTTCTATATTCATTCTACTGCACGGATGGAGTAGTGGTTTAAGCGGTCACCTCACCGCTTCCTACTGGGCTGAGTGTTGTTGTGTTGTGTTATTAGTTCTGTCTGTGTATCTGTCTTCATTTTTGGGAGCTTTTCCTTAACATCCTATAAACGAACTTTTGAAAATATATACGTTTCGACTGGGTTGCAGAGAACGTCGTCAAAGGCTTACTGAGTCAGCTGGAAACTATGGACGTGATCGCGGTAATTCCCGCATATTTACATAATAAAATATGATAATAAAATATGAATAATAAAATATGATGGAATTTTTAAAAGTAAGTATAACATTTGCTCACTTTCACATAATCTATACAAGCAATTGCCCACAGCTTCGCTCGCGTGAATATTCCTTATTTCGTGATTCTAACTTATTAAAGAACGAACTTCCCTTCAACCGTTCATCCCTTGTTTAACCACCTTAGAGGGGAAATTTCCAAAAATCTTAGTGGGTGCTAACAACATAAAAGGCATGAGCTGCCAAAGTTCAAGTTTGTAGCCTGAGCGGTTTAGGCTTTGCGTTTATGAATGGGTCAATCACTCAGGACAAGTTAATTTAAATGTTTACTTACTATTATACACCAAATTATAGAGTTTCGTTGAATGATAAAATTCATTATAAGGTCCGTTAAAGAACAAAAGTGGCCGTCATAACTCGAGGAATAAACTCGCTAAAAGGGTAATGGACTAATTACGTATGCAAAAGCATCGATTGCCGTTAGTGTAAATGATTCTTAGAGTTGAGGACCACGAATATCTAAACGGAAGGCAGGACATTAACAGAGCGGAAGGTAAGATGGACCAGTGACCTTAAAAAAGTAGTAGGGAGAGATTAGATGCGAAAAGAGGAGAATCGCATGCATTAGAAACGTTAGAATTATTAATAACTCGTAATAATAAGTACGGCAGTCTAATCCCAAACTAGGCAGAGCTTGGGCTTTGGTAGACAGACTGCTGATAAACATACTTAAATATCTCTAAATACATATATATTATATATGAAATGACACCCAGACGCAGAACAAATGATCATGCTCATAACATGATATTTTTCCTGGGTGGGATCCAACCCAAGACCTACGGGTTAGCGGTTAGGGTAACTACCCACCAACTACTCGACCAATAGGCCCGTTAGTTAGAATACTGACCTATATGATTTATGGATATGTGTGTATGTAGGTGTGTACATACATTTATACCTTTTCTTTTTGGAATACTTCCGAGAATATTTTTCTCCCCATACACTCCATTGGGGAGACGAAGGGCGTGTGTGAGACTCTCGGAGGCTCCAGAAATACATCGGTGGCTTCTGGAGTCCTCCCTAGCGTACCCATGGAATGAGGCACATCATGGAGTGACCATAGTCGCCCCTTAGGGTGAGGCACTGCTGCTCTACATAGCGCAAAAGCAACGACCTTAGACGATATAGAAGATTTGGACGCAGCGACCCTTAAGATTCCCGGTCCTGCTCTGCGGTCTCCGCGGTAAGATCCTCGCCAGCATTACGTCTGTCCGACGTGATCTGTCCGACCAGACACACAAAGAACTTATCACCCATCAATTTGTATTCATCAATTATTATTATTTTATTTAAAAAAATAACTTAGTCCACATAAACAAATTGTTTAACATAACTTGTACTAAAATTAATTCTAAAGTACGCATCAACCGTGTGTTATATGTTTTCCTTAAACGCGCGACAAAAACAGTTGCTTGCTTACTGTAAAAATATATAATTTTCATATTAAATACCTACACTAATTGCACATCAAATTACCCAGAGCGTACAAACGTAATATTCACACATGTAACAAAATAACTATTTTTGCAACCCGTCTGGCCAGCGTGATATAGTAAGCCAAAATCTACTTTTGAAGGTTTAAGGCGACCTCGTCTGGAACGAGCTGCTTCCAGCAAAAGTAGGTTAGGTTAGAACTGCGACCCCATAAGAAAACGAATCGCTATTAGAAACGAGATGCATCCAGAAAAGTAGGTTAGGTTATAAAAAGTTCTGCTTTTCAATTAATAGCGATGCGTAATGAACTCAAATTATTGCTAAAAAAATAATATTTTGAGGGAAGTATTTTCTGTGCAATCAGTATTTTTTATTAGGATTGGTATTTTTTTACATAAAATAGAAAGAAAATCGGTTTTCAGTTAAAAACTACCCATTGTTTAATGCAATAACAACATTTAAAGATTAATTAAACTAAAGATACTACATAATTATGCGTTTAAATTATGAAATATGCGTGAGATCGTGAGATGCAACTCCTGAATCGGTTACACGGTAATTCTTTGTATAACTTTAGAACACCACGTGTTTTCTTTCCAGGATATGACTAAATTCATTATACACCAGAACAATGACGAATGATTGCTTTCGTCATTATCAGCCCTAAGTTAAAAAGGTTATTACATGAATACCTACACATTAGGGGAAGAACCTGTTGCATGTGCAACGATGCCACCTATCACATTCAGGACGCAGACTACATCATACATAGAGTTCTAATCAAGCCTTAAGAGCTTTTTCCACGGGTTTTTAAGGTTCCATGGAAACAGTATGAATTTAATTCCTCTAAGTGGCCACCCGAGAACTTTGTGGCCCCAAAGGCCGTCATATCTGCGAACTGAAAAAACGCAGCGTGGGTAGGTCCACAAGTCGGTCCGACGAACTGGTAAAGGCCGCAGAAAGTCATTGGATGTGGGCAGTACAGGACTGGTTGTTGTGGCGAACCTTGAGGTAGGCCTATTTCCAGCAGTAGACGTCATTCAGCTAAGATGATGATATTATTAAAAAAATATTATTTTTGACATTCTTATATGGAAGTATTATCTGGTGACGGATTAAGAATACAGAGTTGTCACCATCTATTTATCCCTTGGGGGTCGTAAGAGCGGACTAAGGGAAACTACGCAGGACAACAGCACTGAAAAGAGTAGGAAAACTTGACACAAACCCTATACCAACCCGTCTGGCCAGCGTGGTATAGTAGACGAAAACCTCTTTTCTAAGGAGAGGCCTATGTCCAGCAGTGGACTATTAAAGGCTGTTGATGTGATGTGATGATGGAAGTCTAGATCTTCATAAAGTAAGTCGATCATGATAGTTTAACTTAAGCATGTAACTTTAAATGATCCAATTGACCCAATAATAAAACAGAGGATCTGACGTTAGACAAACGCTACAAAAATTTACGTCACAGAACCACAAACTTCATTTAGTTGGATTTGAATTTATTAAATACTAGCTGACCCTGCAAACGTTGTTTTGCTATTTACATTATTTTATTTTTTTATTTCTTAAAATCCGTTCTTAGCTGACCTTTACTCGGTGAAAAGAATATTCCTACCAAATTTCAAGTCTTTAGCTCTAATGGTTCCAGAGATATCGTGATGAGTGACTATATACGTGGAAATCTCTTATATATATATATATATATATATATATATATATAGATTAATGAGTATCAAACAAAAATATCGATTTCAAAGAACGGTCTGAATCTAAAGTAGTTTCACGCTCGTATCACAAACAAAAAAAATCTCTCACTCACCGTTAAACCCGAAGCGAATTTCGACGATATAAACCATCATACTCAGTTATGACTCATAGTTATGTTAACCGCACACGCACTAAACAAACGTTGCCTGATTGGGTTTTCTCGTTACCAGATTCATTCAACTTTGAGTCGTTGCGGAGGCAAGACACTTAAAACACCTGTTGAAATGGCGCTCACAGTTTTATTTTTATTTATCCTCTGTGGGTTTTTATGGGTGACATCTACGTTACCTATTAAAAATACTGTACAGGGTCAAACTAAAGTGGACGTTCGTGATTCCGGGCTCGTGCAAAGTGATAAAGTGATTCTTCTTGATGCTTATATCAGACCGTTGGTGCGTTCTAAAAGACAGGTGATTAAGAACGGTAGATGTTCTAAAGGACGAGTTTGGTGCCAAGGAAAGTGTAGAACTATTGAAATGTGAGTGTTCAATTTTATTATCGGTCTTATTGTTGAATACTTTTAAAGTTTATTTTTGATTATGTTCATAGATAAGAAACTATACGAACTCTGTTGACTATATAATAACATTGGTTTTTTCTTTAGTGATGTGTAATCAAGGATGTTTTTCCTGATTCATTTGATTCAAATAATTTAAGCCACTTCATCCGTATATGATATTAAAGCACAGATATTGCTCAAAATAAATGTAGTATTCTTGAAATTGTTATTGCTAAAAGTAATCAGATGTTGTCAAATAGAATTTTGCTAAAATGTGTAATATTGCGCAAATATTCAACATGTCATAGACTGTACCAGTTGTTTAATGTCAAGTGTAAATAAACAAATTTTTTTACTCTATTTGATATTATGCTGTTTATACAATAAATACTTCTTAGAACAGTATTTTGAGATTTTATATTCGAATAATGGCATAAAGGTGACAAGAGCAAAAAATACCTAAAAGATAATTTTTACACAGCACTCAATGTCACAATACAGTTAAATACTTGTGAACAGTAATTAATTTCCAAAAAAAATTGTTAATTGTTTTTACTTTTTGTGCCACCTTTATAAAAAACCTCCTTTCTAAGGAGAGGCCTATTTCCAGCAGTGGTCTATTAAAGGCTGTTGATGGGATGTGATGATGTGATATAAAAAAATAATAGTTTTAGTCTAGAAAATACTTGGGTATCATTTGTTGTAATAAATAAAGGTTGAAACAAACACTTAGCGCGCTTATTCCGCCTATATAATAGGTAAACAGTATAAACGTGTGTGTGTGCAAATATTTAAAAAAAAATCTTGTCACATGTGTGTGTCGAACCCATAACAATAGCTTAACTACCAGAACGCTAGATTATTAAATCAATGTATAATCTGTGCATTGGATGATTAAATTATTAGGCTATGATCTTGATGACCATCAAACATAAATGCCATCCATTAATTTTAAGTTTATGTCTAAATATAATGGTTACTAAGTATTTTGGTTACAAAGTAATCTAACATTATAAAAAACTGGTTTTACTCATAAATGTAGAATAACAAAATACAAAAACAAGTTACGTGATTTTAATTTTTATATTGTTTTCTTTTGCAGGTGTGAAAAATTAGAATCAGGCGATTATGACTATGAGTGAAATAAAAAGAACAATTCATAAAATTATTCAACCTAACCAAATATGTTACAAAATACTGAGTATATTATTCATTCTACGTCTCTCTCTAGAGAGTTGAATACTAATGAAGATCAAGGAGAAGTTAGACTGACATGATACTGAAATTGCTAGGATCTATGGCGATTGCCTTATGTTCGGTCTACGTTGAGGCTTACTATAAAATGTAATGAATCCATGGGCGATATACTGTGTGTATTATGCTTTATGACATCTAAGTGCATACACTGTTCTCAGTGTACAGCGCATATACTGTACATGTGTTATATTGTTACTGTTGTATTGTACATGTGTTCGAGACAAATGTCTTTGTTCCGTGAAAATCCTTCAATGTTCACGGTAAAAGTTGACTTAAACACTGGAACTTGCAATTGACCCATTATATTATGTAAAATCTTATTAAGTGTCTTCACACCATGACAAGGAGTTATGTGCCAAATTTGTCGACAATTTCACTATAAGATTATGTTTAATTTTAAATGATGATCTCTCTAACCTAAAAGTTATTTAAAAGAAGAAAAATATGTTTTATGTGGTATCTTAAATCTGTTCTTCTGAACAAATCATGATGCGATATTCGTAATAGAGTGCGGCAATTTTTTTTTTCTCTTTTTCTCAAAAAGAAACTAAAAAAGTGACTGAATAAAATGAGGGACAAAAAAAAACAAAAACATCAAACAGTCCTGAATAATGTTTGAGTCGCATAATTTACGCATAGCAGAAGCTTGTAATATTTTCCTAGACAATCATTATAAAAAGCAATAGGCTGTCCTTTACTTTAAAGAAAATAACTAACAAAACAAGATTATGATTAAATAAGTTGTTACCGGAAATAAGGCGCAAGAACCTTTGAGCAAGAACCTTGTTTGGCAAATATTCTTTTTAATTAATCATTTGAACAAAGAGACTAATTGCGAACAGGTTTGGTTTTTGTGGCTTTTCTACATATGAGGATATTGTTGGCAAACCAATATATTAGGAAAGAAAATTGTTAATATATACACAAGGTATTTTCGGACCGATACGACCTTCAAGAAAAGAGCGTGCTCCATCCTTAATGGTTGGCAACGCGCTTGTGACTCCTGAGTTGCAGGCGTTCATGGGCGACGGTAGTTGCCTTTCCATCAGGTGACCCGTCTACTCGTCTGTCCTCTCTTCCATAAAAAAAACATGATTTACTTTGTATATACTTGTATACTATGTATTTATACAATGTTCCTTATAATATAGCATAGGTACTTATCCTTGGTTAAGTAAATTATTACGTTTGTTACGTGTTTGTTTCGAAAATTTAAAACAAATGAGTAAAATAATCAAACAATATGAAACAGTTGTGTAACTTGTAAATTATAAGAAAATATATGACCGCAACTATGTGTTGCGTTTTGCAAAAATATTTCGCAATATATAACTCTAATATCATGCAACATTAAATCCTGGAAAATATTACGCAAGGAATATTATTGTGTAACATTTGCCTTCCACAGTAGTAACTAGCCTTGTAGGCTCTAAAATAACGCTATGACTAAACTTTTACTTAATTCCGAAATTTCTTTTTTTTTCATTCGTCATTGATTCATTATAGAGTCCAAAAAAAAATCTAATAAAGAGAGGTCAAAGTGAGTAAAAATTTTGCTCTCTTTTTGTTATTTATTAAGAGGATATTATAATGGTTATACTCGTAATAATACGTAGCCGTAAATATATAGAAAAATGAATGCAGCAGTTATATTACGCTACATACGAGATCTTAGATTGTACAAATGTTTAAATGTATACGTTGCGTCAGTAGTGTATTGAATTAAAAGAACCAGTGATATTTAAAATTGTATAAGTCAGACCTTTGCTGGAATATTGGAACCGGTTATTTATTGTTGATTTTAGTTTTTTTAATAAGTTGTTTAAAAGTGACCTCATTTGTCTGGATGTTTATATATATGATATTGTCTGTGATATTTATGTGATAAGTTTTACATTAGTATTACGTATTTATTTCTCTAAACAAATAATTAAATGTAATTTTAAGTTGGAGATCGTCCGTCGGGTAGGTAAATTTATAAAATTCCCGATAGACGAATTCCTGTACACGTCTTAAACTAAAAACAAAACATTTTGCAGTAGTAGTAAATCATTTTCGAAACCACTTGAAGACACACAAAAATTCGGTCCAGCCGTTTAGGAGGAGTTCAGTTACATACACACGCACCGAAGAATGATAAAGATAAAAATGTACAATTATGTATTTAAGGACATTTATGACTTAAGTGTAAATTTACATTAAAACCATAACATTTTATCATTTTCTTGGATTTCGTTTGGTTTTGCGGTATTAGTTAATAGTAGATTAATAGGCAACTACAGTTTATATATTTTAACTAGCTGACCCGAGAAACGTTGTTTTGCCATATACATTATTTCTAGGAAAAATAAAAAAAATAAGTAGGGGTGGGTCACTCTTATCATTTAGGGGTATGAAAAATAGATGTTGGCCGGTTCTCAGACCTACCCGATATGCACACAAAATTTCATAAAAATCGGTCCAGCCGTTTCGGAGGAGTTTGGTAACAAACTTTCAAATTTTATATATTAGATAATATGTACAAATCTGATATGGTTTAATAAAGAAGAAAGTTGTAAATAACATTATTTTCAAGAGGTATTATAAAATATTTTTTTACTTAAGCACCATAACAATTGTCTTCAATGATAATAGTGTACAAACATATTGTGTAATAAATTATTTCTATTCATTTGTGTGTTATTTTTATCACGTTTATAAAAACAATTTCAAGAAAATTAATGAGCACTAGCTTACAAAATACAACTTCGTACAGTAGGATTTTGAGATTAAACTATATACTAATCTAGACACATAATCATCATCAGCCTATCGCCGTCCACTGCTGGACATAGGCCTCTCCAATTACACGCCAGTTAGATCAAACTTCGGCGTCTTGCATCCAGCGACTGCCAGCCATCTAGCGCAAATCTAACTCACCTAGACACTTAATTATATGTCAGTTTTACTGTCACAGTCGAACTGATAGATAAAAACTTTACGTTCAGGCTTCAAACATAACAAAAAATATAATATTATGTAGTATGGCGTAGTACTGAAAGTAGTTGAGAAGTTTAAGTACTTAGGCCACCTTGTCACCAATGACCTACACGATGATAGCGACATAGAGCGGGAGCGTAGGAGGTTGGTGGTGAGGGGCAATATGCTTGCCCGTAGGTTTGCTTGCTGCACGGTAGACTTCAAAGTGACTTTATTTAAAGCGTTCTGTCAGCCCGTCTATTCGAGTGGCCTGTGGGTACCATATACAAGCCGAGCCGAGCCTACAACGTCCTGCTCGTACAATAACTTTCTTCAGGATGCTGTTGCGGCTGCCACGGCATTGTAGTGCATCGGGTATGTTTGCCGAAGCGCGCACAGACGGTTTTCATGCTATCATGAGTATAAAAGTGGTTTCCTTGCTATAACGTTTGCGTAACAACCGAAACGGCATCCCGAAAATGATTGCTAGTAGGCCAGACTGTCCTATACAAAAGTACTGAGTGGAAATGGCAATAGGTACGCCTAGATGAATACCGTTCTACTATTAAGTATCATTATTAAATTCAATATATTAAAATAGGCTCTAAGTAGATTCTGTTTTTAACCTATTACTTAACCGCCCATGGACTGTATATGTCTGCAATAAAGATGTTTACTTGTTTGTTTTTTATTTATATCATCATATTGTTTTTTTTCTTATGACCAGACAGCACTTATAAATCTGTTTCCAAGACAACTCTGAATCTCTATTTATCGAACGTCGACGGAAGATTATTCACTTGGTGTTGAATGTTAAATTGGTATTCATCAGTGTACAGAAGATGCACACATTGAAAATGATGAGACTGTAGCGATAGCGGCCTAAATAGGACACATTATTTTGGAGTCTTTTGTTACTTTATAGTTATGAGTCCAGTTAGATTCTCCATCTGTTTCTGTTCGAACTAGAGTGAGTAGGATCGTAGAAGTGATAAAGTGTCATTTGTCACCATTACAACTGTAGCTCGAATATGGCGTAGGACACATTTAGTCTCTGCACGCAATGGTGTGGCTGTCTAGTGTTTATAACGTGGCCTAGGTCTGTCGCGGTACTCGGGTACTTTCTGCCTAGATTTCCTAGCAAATGACTCTATAGGTTAAAATTCGTTATATAAATCACTACACTCTGAGTCCCAGCAATTGTGGGAGTTTTCACACGATACTTCCTCAAAACCTATCAAGAAAAGAGCGGATACCCACCCCAAAGACCGTCAACGTGTCTATTAAATGATGCAACATTTAGTAATGCTTAGACGCAATATTTGAAAAATATCGCTATTTCTGACTACCCATCTATATTTAAATATTAATGATTAAATATAGATATAAGTTTAAAAAAACAACTGTTAACACACATCACACACATTAAAATACATCGTGACAAGAAGGTGGCCATTTTCTACCATAGATATTACAATAGCCGAACGTTAAACATCGTGGGAACGTAGCCAGCATTTTGGTATGTAAATAGCTCATTTAAGTTAAGTAAATTACTGTATTTATGTGATTAAGTTTACATAGTACGTTAACAAAATCAAGGTACATGTATTTTTGCATCGCACTGTTTTTGCAGAAATGATCTAACACTGATATGTTTCGGTTTTTAGTTTAGTGTTTTTGTTGCCAATATTTTAGAGGGAACAAAAAGTATGATGAAATTTGAGCCTTGTGTGTAGCGAAGAAATGGCTTATTTAGCTTGAAAAAAACTCCTTTTCTTTCGAAATGTTTTCTCTAGTGTAGGTGTACATTTTAAAAAAATGATATTAATTTTCAGGTCAGTTTGAATGTAATTGCTATTTAATTATGATGCAGTCATTTTTAGAAAAACGCCCAACATACCATTAATATACTCGGTGTTAAATACGTTCTTATTCACTGCAGTTTACTCCTACCTACAAAATTTTAGCTAAAACGATGAATTTCTTGAATTAAATCTGTCATTTTATTTAGTTCTATTTGGTTTCAACTTAGAAAAATAAGGATTGATATTAAAATTCAGGATCTTGCCTAAATCCTGAATTTTACGATTTAGGACATAACCACCGGTGGGTGGTATCCGAGGGGATTTCCACACAAAAAAAGAAAAAGAAAAGGATTTTTCTTTACAACACCAACCTACATTAGTAGTTCTGCCTAATTTGACTTGACATGACTTATGTAGTTATTGTAGTCCTTTCTAAGGAGAGGCCTATGTCCAGTAGTGGACTATTAAAGACTGTTGATGATGATGTAGTTATTCAATGGGTTTAAGAGGTAAGTAGATATTTAAACACTTCTGTGCGCTAAAGCTAGAGATGTCCCCAGGCGATAAAATAGGGTAATAAATTATATTACAGCAACTCGTACGTCCCGACTCTTCTACTGTCGTTAAATTGACCGAGTTAAGTAATAAAAAGCAGTGGTAGTTTATGGGTGTGTGTGTAGCAATATAAGCGACCACTTATATTAAGATGTTAAATAAAAGTGTACACGAAAAGTCTAATAAATACACATGCACAGAAGGCTATTGCTTTCCTTCCGCGCGTGTGTGTCGAAAGCAACAGTTTACAATTTAAAAAAAACAGATGAGTAATATTCATATGATATTAGCTTTTGTCCGCGGCTCCACCCGCATGTATCAAATTTTATCTAAATCGGTTCAGCGGTTATTAATTCCAAATACAAACTTACACCCCCCCCTTTTGAAAAAAGGGGGGGGTGTAAGGTTCTAGTAATCAATATCTAGAATATCATGATGATAATCAATATCTACAATATCATCATGATATTCTAGATATTGATTACTAGAATATCATGATGAGTAATCATCATGATATTCTAGTAATCATCATGATGATTACTAGAATAAAAAAACTATCCTATGTCCTTTCCCGGGACTTAAACTATCTCCATACCAAAGTGAAAGGTAACAGACAGACAGTCAGACAGACTTTCGCTTTTATAATATTAGTATGGATATTCAGAAGGTGAGAGAATACTAGATTACCGAAAATAACTATCCAAAGGTAAACAATTTAAAGCTAAAGCGATACCGGTGGCATGTGCAATATACAACTGGCGAGCGGGGCAGTGGGCCACACTTTTCTAGGACTTATTCGTCATCTCAACACTTGAAAGCTCGGCACCCGGTGTTGAGATGCCCTGAATTATTTTAATTTATTTTTCATTCGTCAACCCGTCTCACCAAGTAAGTTTTACAGTCATGTACAAACTCAACTCAAAATATAATTATTTCACAAAAAAATAAATTGAAATCGTCTTAGTCTCTAAAGTCATAGATCAACACACACTCGTAAATACCAAGAGTTGCCTGGTATTTAATCAGGAACAACACAATTGCACTGGTAGGGGTAACTAAGTCGAGTGAATAAAACTACAACTTGTTACTTGTTCTAAAATATTGTATTGTTACCCAAGGATGGTTTATTAAAAAATAATACACAGTTCATGTTATAACACTAGGTTGAGTGAAACAATAACGCGATTCAGGTAAAAGGAACAACGCCATCTATCGAAGTTCAAAAAAAAACTATTTTATGTTCAGTTTGCACTTGAACATGCCGCCCACCAAGGACATTTAGTGAGGAAATGTTCTTCCGAAATAACGTGTTACATAGTGAAAAACTAAAATTGTAGATTGTAATAGCAACTGTTTTGTCAAGTATTTAGAAATATTTGACTACTTCATTATATACATATGCCGCATATATATGTAGATATATATGCAGATACATTATAAGAAAATACTTAAACTCTAATACATATAATTATTTTTATACTTATAAAAACAAGTTACAAACCTTTAATATGCGACGGAAGTGCACCTGTGACGACGCTCACTGCAACTATCGTGATCAATCTATCGTGAACGTGTTTATTCTCGTAAACACAGATAATCATAGATAAATCAACAAGTTACAATACTTTATTGTAACATGGTAGACCAAAACCCTCCTTCCTAAGGAGAAGGTTCTGTCCAGCAGTGGACTATTAAAGGCAATTAATGTAATGATTGTAACATTATTAAGGTCCGCTGCCGATGTATTCTTATTACGATTAGACAAAATGGCTAAAATATTTAGTAAGACACAAGAACAAAGTGACAAGAACTCTCTGTCTCTGTTATCTAATACTAGCTTTTACACATGACTGACACCATAAGACGTATGTATAGTATTTATCTATGCATAAGTATTTTTATTTAAACAGCCGACAATCATGCAACGTCATCTAGTCCCAAACTAAGTTATACATAGAATCACCCAGACCAAATCAGATATTAAATGTTCATGTACATACTCGTAAATGTTTGAATTGAGCGGGAATCGAACCCGCGATATTTGGCGTAGCAGTCAGTTTAGAATCAGATTAAAAATCAGAAAATTCTGAAGTTATTATTACATAGCTTGTTAAATGACAGAGCTTTTGAACTCGTCTAAAAAGATAAACTTTACAACCAACCCCAGTAACACCATTTTTTTACAAAATATTATACTAAAACATTCAATAAAAAACAAATCATATCTTAGAGATAGGTATGTCTGTGTTGACTATACATAACATGACACTACTTTGATAAGCCACGTCAGAATGTCATTGACATTAAGTGTATACGTCAAACGCGTCATAACTAGCAAGGTTGATAAACGTTGAACGTAACATGCAGTAATATGTTCACCAATCGGTCTGTGTCATATTTATGTTATTCCAAAGGTCAACCGCTCTTTATCATTATAGCGTTGAACTTATTATAGTCAGATAAAGTATTAATTAACATCTGAATTACAGATGTAGTTCAAGGACAAATTAATGTAAGTTTGTTTTTTTTAGATGTCTACCGCCGTCAATAGCTTTCTGAATCTCAAGAGTCGTTGCGCCCTTTAAGTCCAATCCCACCAAAATCAAGGAAGGTCGTACTGTCACCGAACCGTCCCATTTGTATCGAAGCATATCTCTCTCACTATTAAAATATGTGTTGAGATATAGTCATTTCGGTCACTGTTTTAGTGATTTATTCACAGTAGATAGCAAGTCTTAGGAGATTCCTAAATTGTTTTTCAATTCAAAAGGGCTGTATCATTAATGTATTCGTTTTTAAAGAATATACTTTTGCTGGCCGGTTCTCTGTGTATTTCATAATTTCTATTTTAAATACAAATAGTTTGTATTTTATATTTGAAATAAAAAGGGAAAGCCTGTTAATAAAGCAATACATACATTTCAACATCCATAGGCGAAGAGTTTAAGGTATGTTTAGTTTTATTTCCAGTGAATTATCTTCGAGTGATAACTTGCAAATTATATCTAAAACATGTAATCATTATCATTTATATATTTTTATTGCCCAATATCATTATGTTATGCCCTGATGATGATAACGATAAATTCGGAATTGTATGCAAACAATGATAACAATATTGCAAGATACGATTTTTCGTGGCAACACCACCACCAAAAAATGTGTCGCCGCACTAACGTTATCATTTCATTTCATTCACAGAATCACACGAACTTTCAGACGGGCTGGACGTATTGGCACGAGCGCATAGATAACATAAATTAAATCAGACCTCTGTGGGATTTTATAGCTAACTTACCGATATTATGACACCTTTTCTAAAAATTTCAGTTCAATTTGAAATTTTGATTATACTTTTTGTGATCGCCACGTTCTTCGTCACAACTGGGATTTCAGAAGTATCAAAAAATACGAATGTTGCAGTTTTGAGTGGTCATTATAAATTTGGTCTGTCAAAATTAGCGAGAAGACCACGAGAAACAATTGTTGGAAACGGATGTCCTAAAGGAAGATTCAGGTATTACGGGAAATGCAAATCTTATAAAGAGTAAGTTATTAACTTTAATTCATTTTTATATAAGTTAATTAAATACCTTTTCACGATGGCTTTAACTGTTTGGTGAATTGTTCAACTGATTAAATGAACATACTCATTATACCGAGATAGAGAGATAAAAATCCTTAGCTCCCATCAAAAATAATGCTTCTGTAATATTAAAAATGAGTCGTGTATTTTATTATATTATAATATTTCTTATATATAACTAGTATCCACTTCAATGGTAAATGAATATTTAATCTATGTGTAATTTAGACACCTAAAGAATGTATACATATAATATTTTACTGCACGGATGGCGGAGTGGTTCAAGCGGTCGCCACGCCGCTTGCTACAATGCTGAGTGTTGTGGGTCCGATCCCCACATGGAACTAGACTTTGTGTGATCCACAAGTTGTTGGTCTGAGTTTGGGTGTTATTTGTGTCCGTTTCATGTATGTTTGTAAATTCCCCCGCGACACAGGAATATATTCCAAATACGGGAGTTGTCTTTTTAAAGAGAGAGAATTCTATAACAGTTATAATCTTATTTAATTAACTAAGTAAAATACCAATTGTTACACTAAAAATATGTAAAATATTTATAGGTACTTGTACATTGAATCATATTAAAATAGCATGACTCATAGATTAAGGCTAGGTAGTAGATTCAGGATTTGATTCGTTTTATAAAAGTTATCAGTTTTTGTGATGTATTGAAGTACGTACAATTTAAATACTGCATTTTAAGAGTAAATTAATTATTAATAAACAGAACATATAGCGGTGCTTGCTTATCACAAATTCCGGTTCATTCCAGCTTTTGCAATCAAGTTATTGCATTTCCAAAACAAAGGTAGAACAATAAAGATTTAAAAGTATTTGATAAGGTGAAAAGGTGTGTCAATTAGGGTGCAAAGGAACTCGTAGATGTGAACGCTTTGCGAGTCGGTGACGTTATGATATTGTCTTCCCACAGGAATTTTTGTACAACGCAATTTTCTGCAGTGGTATAATTTGTTTTATAAATATTATTGGTATTGGTATTATAATATTTTTTTTAAAATATTTTTTTATGCATAAGTATCCTGCAAATAACCGTGTGAACATTAAAAAAACCTATTATTTTGATAATCCAAACAGACACTTCAATTCTATTTATTTGTATAGATACTACTTTTGTTGTTAATCAGCTTAGATGTAGTCTATTTTAATGCCTATATATTAGGTACACAGCTACTGAAAAACATGATAACTAAAATGAAAATATGGTTATAAACCAAAGTGTTGTAGGTAATGTCCTGTTCAAAATTTAGCAATAATTCGTCAGACGGTGTACTGTAAATTTTATTTAATTTAATTGGTAAAAAAGGAAATTAAAGAATCAATAAATTTGAAAGTCGTTAGTTAAACCACTACTAATTTACTAATATATTTGATTTAAATAAATATACTTGTAATTACCAGTGTTTATTCTGTTTGTTTAGATTCCGAAAGAGTGACTACAATGATATCGATGTTACAAACGAAGCACAAACATTTACGCCGACAACAAAAATTCGGGAATACAAATTAGTAGAGACTATTGAAACCGATACCAATCTGTCAATTGTACCTCTTTCAAGACCTGATGTCGTCACTGAGCCGAATTTCATAATGTTAAATTCTGATTTAAAAACAGTAAGAACAGTGGAAAAGTCAACACTCTTAGTAACAGAATTAAATACTACTGTTATAACTCAAATACCTGAAGTAACATCTCTAAGCCATGATGTATCAGTCTCAAGTCCTGCAATGACAGAGGCTTCACAATTAGAAGCTACAGTACCAACATCAGCTGTGACAGAGTCAGGATCTGCTAAAGCAGAGTCCAGACCTACATTTAAAGAACTAAAAACTGTTGTTACAGAGCCAAACCAGTTTATAGATGAACTTTCATCTATAATAGTAAAACTTAATCCTATCCTAATCGAATCAGGGTTTACAGTGACACAGCAACAGCTTTTAGTAACAAACCGTACTAGTACTACAGAAACAAATCCTAATCTAACAAAATCAAACAACATATTTTCTGTAACGGATTCAATTCCTACTGTGCTGGAAACAACGACAGCAACAGCAGATACAGGTACAAGAATTGACTCAACTCTTGCTGTTTTAGAAATTAGTCCAGTAGGAATAGAGTCGGAAAGTGTTATGACTGATCACGAAAATATCTTAAAAGACTCTTTTAGGAGTGATTCTGCAGTGACAGCAAAATCAACACCTACGACCACGTGGACAGAACCATTTTCAAATTTAGCATCAGGGCCGATATCTTCATGCACTAACACTCGAACAACGGCAAAAGAAAGCGGCCTCACAACTACAGACGTGCCCAGCAAAGGCGTGCCTGATATTTTCGACCAAAATGATAAAGTATCCAATATTTTACTTGAAGTAATATATTTTATGTTCACATTGGTGTTTGTTGTTAGCTGTGTCTCCATTTTAAACTGGATATTTGAGCAATTGTGAGTATAAATCATATTTTTATATCTCACTGATTTTCTTTTTAATTAGATATCATCATATCTAACTATAGAGGCCATATATAGAACCTTGGGTTTTGATCTCGTCTCGGTCTCGTCTTGTGGCAACATTATTTACGAAAATATTTTATGCGAGATTAGACTTTTTTTAACAACATTGTTTTTCAACGGCTGAATGAAATCTCATTCAGTTAATCACCGGAGCCCAAATCGTTTTAACTTTAAATCAGGAAGTTTATTTTCCTAATTTCATAATACATATAAGTTTTTGGAATATTATTTTTTTCAGGTATGGCATCCTTTATCGGCGTAGAGATCAAGAATACCGAGGCGTATTTGTGTCAAAGGAACAAGAATCTATGGTCTAAATACAGAAAAATGCTAATAGAGATAAAAAAATCCATTTAACGACTAAAAGTCTGAACCAAAGTATTCCAAAAATATTTATAAAATTATTATACCGCTTAAATGTTATGGTTAAGTAATTTATTTCATTAGAATAGTAAAATTTTTATCATTTGAAAACATCGAGACATGTACTAACTTGTTAGTACATGTCTCGATGTTTTTAGTCGTTACATTCACTATTGAGTCGAATAATATAATCATCTAATGATTATGATAAACTTTATTATCAGCATGACAACACTTGAAAGTATTCATGATTCACTTCCTAACATCTACATTATAAAGTTTGCAGATTTAATTCCCATCAAAACCATACCTATTTAACACTTCACAAAAAAAAATTGTAACTGTAGGTTAGATTAATTGTATCTATTATCATGAGTAACCACCCATATTTAAGGCACCTATTCAATTGTTAATTTATATAAGTTTCTGTATTCGTCGAGTAATTCTCCTTTTCATTTTTGTTAATAATACCTCGTTTAATAGTTGCCCCGAACAAAAGCACCTAAAGTGTGTAACCTAAAGTCTTAAATTGTACATAAATAAATTAAATTATGTGAAATTGACTGCTGTTTCTCTATTGACATTGGGCGATTAGTGATAAGCGTATAACGAAGTGACGCTATATTTATCTTTTTATGTATAATTCTCCTGTACGTATGTATTTGTAAATAGTTAAACTCCGTGTAAAATAAAATTTGTGGTGTATACTTCAGTCTCCGGATGGTTAAACTTCCAGGACAGGTATCGCTGCAATGTGGTTTTAGTATTTTTATTTTATTACTTAATCTCATTTTATTTATGTAAATATATATATAATAATGTTGATAATAATAATAAGTCCGTAAATGTGACTAAAATACTACCAGCGAAAGCTGAGAAAGAACAAATTCAATATAAAAATTACTATTTTTATTTATTTTTATATTTTGAATTTATATTATATTATGTTTTATATATTTTATCACCACCAGTGTTTTTCTTAAATGTGATTATTATGTGATAAAATGAAATCATAAGACGATAAAGTAGATACATTTAATTTTAAAATTAAGTTTGATGACAACTAAATCTTTAATTTGAATAAACAGTTAAGATAAAATATTAACCAACCAACAGGCCTACCTTCATTTACTTTGTAAAACTGCATTAACATTTTTAAGAAATATATTTTGTTCGTAGATTCATAATTGAATGTGTTATTTAATTACTAGCAGTAATTAATGATCAACTAACTTATGAAATTCCCTTGACTCTCTTATGAGTTTAATTAAGCTTAGATACCATTAAAAAATAAGAAGAATATTTATTGTACTTTAATAAAACAATTTCAATCGCAATCTACTTGTTTAATTTTTAAACATGGTGTTAAGAAACGAAATATTAATATGTACACAATGTATATACACAATCTTTCTCTAGATATTTCTACAAGATTTCTACACCACCTAAAGGTTGGCTGGTAGAGAATGCCCAGGGCATTAAGTCCGCCGATGTACATAAGTGCATGAAGATGTAAAATAAATAAATAAATAAAATAAATATTTTCGAACTCTTTAGGGGGGATATTAAAAAGGTTTCAAATGTGTTATGAATTTAAGTAGATGTATTTTTGTCTACTTTTATATATAATATACATAGGTACATTAACATTTAATGATTGGAAAGAGAATATTGTTTGTAACCGTGAAAGAGCCATCATTATCATCATCAGCTTATCACAGTCTACTGCTGGACATAGTCCTCTCCCGATGCACACCACTTCAATGGATGAGAAAGCCAGTCTTGGTCACAAATGCGCCGGCTCGACTGAAATGATTGCTATTCCAAAGGTCGCGGGTTCGATTCCCGCTCAAGTCAAATATTTGTGTGCATGAACATTAAAATTTAATGTTTGATTTGGTCTGAGTGTTTCTATGTATAATAAGTATGTATTTAAAAATCCGCTTATTTATATAAATTCACTAGATAATATCTTAAAAACATGTAGCTCGAATAAAGCACTTATTTTGACGGGTGATTTAAATTTAAATATAATGTCAGATAATCTTAATGCTAATTCTGCAATATACCTAAATCTAACAGCAAGCCACGGTCTGAAGCAGGGAATTAATTGTCCCACTAGACAAAATACATGTATTGACCATTTTATGATAAAAGCAACTGCAAAACTGCAAAAGTACAAACATTTGTTTTTGAGGAATTAACGGATCACTCACCCATTCTACTGCATATTGATTATACGCCCATTTCTAAGCAAAATAAACATATTAATATAAGCAAAATTGATATCGGTGGTATAAGTAAATGCATGGAGAAGGAATCATGGAGTGATCTATACTCTGTAACCGATGTTAATCAAGCTGCCGTAATACTGTCTGAAAAATTGGAAAGCTTTATAAACAGCAACACCCTAGTTGACAAAATTTCAAAGCGTAACAAACGTTTAAAACCTTGGATAACTATAGGTGTAATAAAATCTATACGTAGACGAGATAGAATGCATAAGAAAGTAAAATTAAATTCCAATAATCTAGAAATAAAAGATAAATACCTAGCGTATAGAAATACATTAAAAAGGGTAATTAAAACGTTGAAAACAAATTACTACATGGACAAACTTAACAAAATCAAAGGTAATATAAAGGAAACTTGGAACACGATTAAGGAATTATGTAACATGAAACAGAATAAGGCATCGCCTACTGAATTGCTTAACGTAAACACTAATGTAACTGGATCGCTAGATGATGTGAATGCGTTTTTTTCATCGGTTGGTTCAAACCTTGCTAAAAAAAATCTGCAAAACTTAAATACTGGTGAGACAACCCTAGCTCAAAATGCAAAAATCACAAATGAACCGTTACACTCCATGGCACTACACCTAACGGACCCTGCAGAGGTGATTGATGTAATAAGTGGCCTTAAATCACATAGTGCTCCAGGTTTAGACAAAATAACAGCTGCCTTTTTGAAAAAGTTTCGTTTTTACCTCGCCAAACCTATATCCTACTTGACCAACTTAACCTTCGAACGAGGCATCTTCCCTAAAATATTTAAGCACGCTATTATCTGCCCCATCTATAAATCAGGAAGCAAGCATCTTCCCACGAACTATAGACCTATTTCACTGTTGAGTACCCTCTCTAAAGTGGTTGAGAAAATAATGAACAAGCGTTTAATAAGTTATATGGAAAGCAATAAACTGCTTGGTATGAAACAATACGGCTTTCGAGCAAATCGCTCTACTGATGACGCTGTATTACAACTAACATCTAATATTACATCTCACGTTGACAGAGGCGATAAATGTTTAGCCGTATTTCTTGACTTACAAAAGGCGTTTGACACCGTTTCTATTCCGATCCTTTTAACTCGCCTTGAGAATCTAGGCATTAGGGGAAACGCACATCTATGGTTGAAAGATTATCTCACAGAAAGATACCAGTGTGTTAGAGTTGAAAACCATACCAGTAACACCTGTATGGGGTCATATGGGGTTCCACAAGGCAGCGCTCTTGGTCCTACGCTATTTCTTGCATATATTAACGACCTATGTAAATTTGAAATTCAGGGTGCTGACATACAAATGTTTGCCGATGACACAGTGGTATTGTTTCATAGTAATGCATGGGAGAATGTACGACAAATAGCTGAAAAAGGTATGTCTCGTATTACAGCTTGGCTTGAAGATAGTCTACTATCAATAAATGTGGACAAGACAAAATTCCTATGTTTTAGTAAAACTATGGCATCTTCGCCAAAAACACTCCAGTTATCCATACATTGTCATCCATGTAACCGATCAACAATCGAACTGTGTGCACGTTGCAGTTGTCCTGAGCTGTCAAGGGCAACCGAAATCAAATATTTAGGGGTAAATATTGACGACAAATTAAACTGGAAGAAACACATAAACACAGTTAGTGGTCGACTAAGGAAGTTTATTTACATTTTTAAGGATTTACGAATTATACCAGACATTACACTTTTAATACAAACGTACAAAGCCCTAGCTGAATGTTTAATCACCTACTGTATATGTTCGTGGGGCTCAGCTGCAAAAACATACTTGATTGAGGTCGAAAGAGCACAACGGGCTGTTCTTAAAGTACTCCTTTACTTACCATTCCGTCACCCTACTCATCTAGTGTATGAAAAGGCTGAAGTTTTAAGCGTACGAAAGATGTTTGTCTATCAATGTATCCGCAAATATCACAAGCATACTGTACCTCTTCTCCAACCTTCGGGTAAAAGAAAAGACAAATGTCCAATCCCAAGGGTTAAAAGCAAATTTGCTCAACAGCGATATAGTAACATTGCACCAAGGCTATATAATAAACTTAATTTAGATTACAAAACCAGACACTTATCGAACTACCAAATTAAAAACATAATTAAAATATGGCTTAACAGTTTGGCCTACGATGATGTAGAAAGCTTGTTGCTGGTAAGAAAGTAGTTCAGGTTTCAATACACATACACAAACACACAAATACATACACACACACACACGCGCGCGCGCACTTGCACAAGCACACGCATAGGCACACTCACACGCACACTCACACTCAAACGCACACTCACACGCACAGGCACACACACACACATGCACACGCAAAATTAACAACAGATCTTTTGTAAGTATTCTTCAATGTTTCTTTGTATGTTCCACGTGATTATTGTAACAACTTATTGTATCATGTCTTTGGGAAGGAACTGATCCCCGATATACAGCTCACGCTAGTTTGGGAATCAGGGCTTGCACTTGAATTGTATGTATCATTTGTTACAATAAAATTTATTATTATTATTATTTACAAAAAAAAGTAAATGTATTTATATCAGTTGTCTAGTACTCACGGCCACTCTTCTATCATTACCAGTCATTATCTTTAAAACAGTAGTAACAAATGGTAAATGATAAACAAAAACCCCTAAGGTTTGTAGGTACATT